ACCAATCGAGATGAAGTTTGCTACCAGCCTCGCCCTCGCGGCAATCGCCGTCACCACCGCCCACGCTGGTAGCCCGTCAATGATGAAGGATTTACCCACCGAGACTCCTTCGGAGTCAGAAGGGCTTGGCGGGTCTTGCAACTTTGTTTGCATTCAAGTGATGAGGCCCGTGACGGACGAGAACGGAGTCACGTACTCGAACAAGTGCATGATGCGTGCAGCCAAGTGCAAGGGTAATGGGAAACGGGAGGACCCCTTGGAGGAGTACAAGCGTATCTACGGCAAGCCATTCGGTGCCCCACGCGATGACGACGAAGACGAATCCGCCAGCTCGGATACAGTCACTCAGGGCGAGGACTCGGACGAGGACGAATCAGCATCTGAAGAAGGCTCAGCTGAAGGCACCCCTAAGTCGTACTGCCCCAACATCATGTGTCTTGACGTGTATGGACCTGTGACTGACGAGAATGGTGTGGCGTACCCCAACAAGTGTTCTATGGAGGCCGCCAAGTGCAAGGGTCCGAGAGAGAACGTTTTGGATGAATACAAGCGGATTTACGGAAAGGAGTTTGGTGCGCCTCGTGACGATGATTCTAGAGATGATGAAGACGAGTCTGCTAGCGAAGACAGCAGCAGCCCATCGCCAGCGACTAAAATGGTGAAGGGTACGAAGGACTCTGGTAAAGCGAAGAAGTCTACTAAGTCATCGTCAACCACCTCGAGCGGCATTGGACAAATTTACGAGGACGACTCAGAAGGTGTCATTGACGATGGCAACTCGACGCCTAGCAAGAAATGTGCGAGTGCCTGCCCTGACGTCGAATTACCTGTTTGCGGCTCCGACGGAGTCCGGTACTCGAACCCGTGTGAGCTCAAGATCGCTGCCTGTAAGAACCCGGAGCAGAACATCGTGGAGGAAGATGGCGCCTGCAGCTCGAAGAAGACAGGTAAGATCGGCATCCTGCCTGTCGTGTAACTTTTTGGCAGCGTCGTGGCCTCAGCCAGTCTGAACAAGACCTTTTTGAATGTGTGCAAGTCGAGAAATTCAACTTGGTTTGCGTAGCTTTTTTTCAATATTGCATCACATTTACATGCAGTTTTTCACTTGGGTGGGGATGGACCAAGTAGCTCGTACTTAAGCGCGAGTTTGCGCTGCATACTTGGGTACTACGCACTGTATAACATTATATTAGGGATGGCTGTCATGTCGCGCAAATCCTGCAAGTATTTTGCATATTATCACAAAAGTATAGCGCCCTGCATGATCAAGAGAGCACCACCATGGCTCTGAGTATAGCTAGTTAGGTCATGTTCAAGCCATCCTCTGAAGCGCTTACACTTTAAAGCACTAGCACGGATTCTTAAAACTCTGTTTCGGATGAGCTGAGGGAGGCTGCATCACCCCTCCATTTACACCCTAGTTCTGTTTGGTACTTTAATGGTAGCTCCAATATCGGTTAAGTTTATAGTGATAATTTCGCCTGGTATTCTTCAGAGATAAAAAACTATTATTTAAAAGCAACTTAATATTAATACTTGTTAAATTTTTTTTAAGAGATTGCGTCCTCGAAAGGATGTTCTGCAGAGCAACATGGTGGGCTGTACGTTGTACAGTGCACTCGACTTGGTCGATGGATACCAATTTCTCATGAGAGCGAGCGACATTCCGCTGACAGTTGTGAGTACTCCGAGCGGTATGCTCTGGGAGTGGCTGGTCATTTCCTAAGGGGCTGTCGAACGCACCAGCAAGGTTCAATCGCCTTGTGACACAGTTGTTTAGGCCCCACCGGGCGTACGCTCAGACGTATTGTGACCATATATTCGTCCATAGTCGTGCTGAGCACGGAAGGTCAAACTTGGAGAACCACATTTGCGAGCGGTGCTCGAGTGCATGCGCACTAATAAGTTGTATGCCAACTTTGACAAGTGCGTCTTAGGCGCGGAGGAGATACCTTTCCTCGGGTGCTTCATTGAAAGCGTGGCTTACGGGCAGATCCTACCAAAGTCAAGGCCATCGTGGGCTGGTCGGTTCCCAAGAGCCAAAAAGACTTACGCAAGTGGCTAGTCTTAGACAACTACTTGCACAAGTACAGCGCGAACTACGCGGAGATGGCTCGGGCATTATCAGATATCCTTAAGTAGGATGCACAATGGCGATGGAACGTCAAGCACGACGGAGCCTTTGAGGCTGTGAAGGCGAGCCTCCTCCAGGCTCAGCTCCTTGCACTACCGGACCCGGATCGTCCGTTTAGCGTCGTCTGTGACGCCTCCAATTTTGCAATCGGTTGTGTTTTACTACAAGAAGATGCCGAAGAGCGAGGCAGTGTGATCGCGTTTGAGTCTCACCAGCTCAAATCTGCAGAGAAGCGCTAATGTTTTCATAAAATAGCTACTTTTCATGAACTTTGCTCTAGTCAAGTTCAGGGTACACCTGCTGGGCTCTAAGCCTTTTGTGACAATTACTGACCATACGTCGCTACGCACTACGACGCAGTCGCCACACCTTTCTCAGAGAATGGCAAGATGGATCTTATTCTTCGCCGAGTACAACTTCGAGGTGAAGTGCAAGCCGGGGCAGCTTAATGTGGTGGCCGATGCGCTCTCGCGCAGGCCGGACTATGAATTAGCCCATGTGACGACAGTGACGTCGTCAGTGCCTGAGTTGATACGCGGAGCGTATGCACAGGACGAAATGTGCGTAGCGCTGCTACGTGCGCTTGGGAGCGAAGAGTTTAAAGACTCTGACAAGGAATTGTCTGGGCGCTTACGCGCGAGGCTGCATCGATACTCGCTCGATGGTGGTCTGCTGTACTACAGCACCGACTCTGAGGATAACCCTCGTGTAGTCTTTCCTCATGATGAGGACCTGAAGCATAGAATCCTCTATAAGGTTCATAGTACGCCCGTGGGTGGGCACTTAGGTCGGGAGAAGACCTATGGCTCGGTGAACTTGATATACAGGTGGTCCAAGATGTATAAGTAGGTCGGCACCTATGTACGCACGTGTGAGACGTGTCAGCAAACGAAGTCCTCGCCGAGCACGGCAGTGCCGTTGGCGAGGTTGCTTGTCCCCAAGGGATGTTAGCGGTCCATGAGTATGGGGTTTATGTTTGGTCTTCCCAAGAATAAGGCGGGTATTGTGGTCTTTGTAGGCCGATTGAGCAAGATGGCTCATTTAGCGGCAGTGCCGGACACCATTGATGGTGAGGGTACAGCTTTGCTGTTTTTAGACAGCGTATTCCGCCAACATAGCTTGCCTGAGGCAATTGCCTCGGATCGAGACTCGCGCTTCACCGCGAAGTTCTGGACGTCCCTCTTCAGAGTGCTCGGGACTCGTTTGAACACGTTCACAGCGGACCATCTGTAGACCGACGGTCAAACTGACCGCGTGAATCCCGTTGGTTGTGGATGATATCCTCCGAAGCGTATGCGCTGAGGTGCCAAAACGCTGGAGCAGATGCTCCCACCCGTTGAGCTCGCATTAAATAATGCAGAGCATGCCTCGACAGGCTACACTCCGTTCTATGTGAACGGCTTGATGAACCCTCGCGTCCCACTGACGCCGCCACACAGTGACTCAGGGCTTGATGGGGGAAAGATAGCCGATCGGCTAGCTGATGTCAACCCTGTTGCGACTCGCAAGCTAGTCGATGACTTTGTCGCTTTGGTACTGAGCGTAACGCGACACTAAGGCTATAAGCCAAGACACACATAAGGAACATGTTGATGCCAAGGGCAGAAACAATGTTGAGAGGTTTGAGGTCGGTGACCAAGTTTTATTATACGCGAAAAAACTACCAACTCAAGCAGTGTCTGCAGTCTTCAGGACGAAATTGAGACCTCGGTTCATAGAACCGTTTAAGGCCGTGACCAGGAAGGGCCTTGCTTATACGCTCAACCTTCCGAAGAAGAGGCGCACGCATCCGGTCATCTATGTTGGTTTGCTTAAGCCATATCAAGACCCTGCTCAGGTGAGCGCGGAGGCGTTGGTGCCAACGGTGGCTGGGCCACGGACAACAGCAGGGCAGCAGGTGGTAGAGCCACGGGAGGCTGGGTGACAGCAAGGAAGAACCCACAGCAGGTTGATCAGCAGCAAGTGGCAGAGCCACAGGTCGCGGAGCGAAGTGCTCGAGATGTAGGAACAAAGCAAGCTAAGCGTTCAGCCGAGCGACTGGACACTTAAGGTCCGATACCTGGTTGTGAGTCAGCTGTGGTGACTGTAGCCTATCCGCAAGGTGGATCATCTCTTTGAGATCGACCGATGGGCGGTGAACGTGAACGTTCGCGTCGTAGACGCCGGCGTCGTATGGACGCAGACGTCATTCCGGCTAGTACTGACGCTCCCCGCGAGAACCCAACTGAGGCAAGGCCTCCTACCGCTCTGCTCGATGAGAATGGTGAGATCCGCTATCACGTGGAACGCCTTGTGGCGCGGCGTAGACGCCAGGTCGCTCCCAGTACTTTGTGAATTGGAGGGGTTACCCTCACTCACAGAACTCATGGGAGTTTGAGGTTATCCTCCGGCAAGATTGCTCTGACTTCGTGGACGCTTACGACCGGGCACATCCTGTGCTGAAGCGCCATAATGTCGCGGCCAGGCGCTGGACGTCTCCCACTAGAGTAGGGAGCGAACAGGTCAGTAGTTGAGTTCAGGCTCTGACCAGTGTTTGCAGCAGCCAGATCGTACGTATGAGCGACGGGAGCAGGAGGTGGAGAGACCTCGTGGTGTTGGGGACGTGGTCTCCAAAGAAGCAGGTGGTTCGTCTCGTGCTGAACAAGGTTTAGGCACAAGCGTCCCGATACACGCATAGTTGTCTTGAAACAACTTGCTCGATGAGCATGATCCGAATTTGGATGCGCCGTAACAGCGAAAGTGGTGTGTCCCGGACGGGGATCGAGCCACTGGCCTTTGACTTTCCAGGCCGGAGCTCTACCATTGAGCTATAAAGGCGACGCCCGTATGTTTGTCCGAGTAAGGACGACGCATGGTATGAAAGGGCTGCGCCCGGGTGGAATCGAACCACCGACCTGTGGCATCCAAAGCCAGCTCTCGACCACTGATCTAAACGGGTGCTGTCCTTAAGCTTGTCCAAGCGTGGACAATCATGCATGGGACGAGAGGGTGACGCCCTGGTGGGATCGAACCTCCGACCTATCGCTTGTGAAGCGAGTATTCAGCCGCCGAGCTGTTGTCGACGACTCGGACAAGTCAAGAGCCTAGCTCTAAGAGGTTTGCAGCTCATGGAGTAGGCGTGGAGCGCGAGCATAGGTCTGGGACCGCTTGAGAGCAAGATGCGCGGTGCGCTTGAAGCATTGGGCTGCGGGCTGACGACGAGAAGTTGGGCATCAACGATGCGTTGACGTTTGTGAGCTCGCGGAGCTGTACAACGCTGGTGTGAGGTGTGGTAGCCTCCGCCGTCTTCTTCACTAAGGAAAAGATGAGAACATTTCGAGAGCGAAATGTTCTCATCTTAGGGGGGGGGGGGGTTGGAGAGCTAACAAGGTCTCTCAGTACGTTGGCTGAAAGCCACACGTTATGCATTTGATTAGGTTTAACTATGCTGGATAGTTAAACAGATACATTTACCCCTAGGCGGCTGAGCCGCAATAATAAAAAACACTTCTGGTTTTGAAGCATGAAAGTTAAGGTATTAGCTTTGAGCCGTGGTCGTGGGCTGCAAGTGTCCTTCGGATAAGGAACTTAGTATTAGTGACTCTTTGAGTCAAACGTCTTTCTCTGACGCTAAAGCTACGGTAGCCCCACAGCACCCACGACTGGGTCACACGGCCAACAGCGAGATCTCAGCGAATGAGACAGTTTTTGAATCTTACTGGATATCTTACCGTAGCTTATTTACCTCACGAGTACTATTTCAGGATCAAATTGAGAATTCCTCCGTTCAAAATGAGAAAAGCTCAGCTCAAAATGAGAAAATTCGCAACCGCTTAGGGAATTACCTTCGCGTCACATTCAGTAATTTTTACCGTGTGAACGTCACGCTGAGATGCTTCAAATATCCCCCCCCCCAAAAAAAAAAAAAAAGATTGTTCGAGGCATTTCGTCCGTCTGGGTTTTCTTGTTTTGATCTGGGCATTTCTTGTTTTGATTCGAGAATTTCTCAATTTGATTTTGAAATGGTGTACCTATTACGCTAATGGAGACCAAATGTCATACTACTAGTAGTATGACTTTTTTGTAAGTAATGTTACTATTTTCGATTATTAAATGTCAGCAGTAACTCAATTTTTGAAAGCCGGAGTAAGAGGATTGAAATCCTCTTGGGTGCCTCTTCACGTCACCCACGAACACGATGACGAAGGAGAACGAGCGAGACAGCGAGCAAGAGAGCAGAGAGTATTAACGAACAGAAGGAGGGCGACGAAGTGAGGCAGCTGGGAGGGATCTCCCGAGAAGTCAGTAGCCCTGTACGAGCAACCGGTGGACGATCTTTTGGGTGGTGTACCCAGAACAAGTTCCTGCACTGCGGTCTTTTCGGTAAGAGTCGCGGTTGCTGGATGAAGGGGTGGCGAAGTGTCGCATGCATGAAGATCAAAGCGAGCGACTGGCAGTTCCAGATTTGCGGCGCAGCAGGCAAGTGCTCGCGCAGACGCAGAAGAAGAAGGTGCCGGTATTAGTGCCTGTAGGAGATAAGCAATAACAAGTCAGTTGTTAGTGAGTCACGAGACGGAATAAGTAGGGTGGAAATCGGAGTGTGACAGAGAGACGGGTATAAACAGCCCCGTAGGGTCGTCGGTATCAGCAGCCCGGAACGTCGTGAAGGTTCCCCAAAAGAATAGGGTAATGGAGCTAGCTCCTGGTGTAAAAGCCCAAGGGATAACAATCGAGCGGCTTGGCATAGATCTCCGAGGAACACCACCAGTTGCCAGACCAAGGAACTCAGAAGTTGCTGCAGTGCGTGGGTAAGTTAGTGTAGGTGCGTGTGTTGAGCGGCGACTTCTGTGGCCACCGGACACTGTCACTTGGCCGAGGGCAAGACCGGCGGTGGAAGCAACGCGACATACGGAAACCGTTGAGTATCTCACTAAGTAATTGACGCCACGTAAGAGTGACTGAGTGTCTCGACGAGCGACGACCTGGCAGTTGATTACACGAAGCTTACTTGGCGGTCATACAGGGGCCTTCTATTGAAGCTTGGTCCTGTGGCACGAACCTTAGCCACGCAGAGAGAGGGGGTTAGGGAAGAGAGAGAGCGAAGGCGAAAAAAAAGAGAGTGAAGGCAGAAAGAGAGAGTGAGGACGGAGTGAGAGTGAGAACGGAGTGAGAGTGAGAACGGAGTGAGAGTGATCAGACGACGAACGAGCACCGAGGACGCTCGGTAACTTTCATACCAGACGAGGAGTTAAGGAGACACCGCATTGACAATGCCAGCGCGAGCGGCACGAGCGACTACGAAGCGAACGAGTCCATGGACCCTGGGAATGACGACGCGAAGCTCAACGACGCCACCCGTGGTACCCAACAAGAGTCGTCAACCCCGGACGCGCATACGACTTAGCACTGGTGACGGCAACGGCGGGATTGACGAGGTAGCTGTCAGCAGCAACGTCGCGATAGCACCTGTTAGAGGTGGTGGCGCCGACGGCCGTAGTGAAGATGACGACGATGTGTTCGACAATGGCAACGGAGGAAATAACGACGGCGGAAGTAACGGAGGTAGCGACGGCGGGCAGCCGGGCGATGACGAGACGCACACAGTAGAAGCGGCAGAAGCAAATCGGGGTCAAGATGACGACGACCTGGAGTCGATGGACTGGTGGGATGCACTAACTACAGGCCAGCAGAGATCCATGATGCGACGCTTTATGGGTCGACCAGCTGCACCGGCACCCGCGCAACCGACGCAACAACCCATTCTGATACAAGCACCGACGACGGACGCCCCACGGCGTCACAAGATAAAGATGCTGCACATTGAGGATTTCAGCGGCAAGTCCAGTGAGTCGGTCGAGGCTTGGCTGGCAACGATCTCCCAGGAGGTAGAGCGACAAGGTGGAATGGGAGGCGACTCGTGGACGGCAGAAGAGCTGTACTACGGCGCGACCGCACACCTGAAGCATGCAGCAAGCAAGTGGTTAATAACTCTGTCGGACACCATGCGACCACAAGACCGCAGCCTGAGTTACCTGGTACGACAGATGCGGAAGAAGTACGGCAGCCGTGACAGTATGTTCAGAATTCACCAACGACTAGCGGCGCGAGTCCAGCAGCCGGGCGAGCGACTCAGCGACTACACTGCCAGCTTGACGAACATCAGCTTCGGCAGACGCATCCCAGCTGAGTCCTACGTGGAGGCCTTCATAAACGGAATCAATAACGAGACGACGGCGACGCAAGTGAGGGCGTACGAACCGGAGACGCAGGACGAGGCCGTGCAGCTCGCAGAGGACAAGTGTGGCGAGTACGGAGAAGGCTTCAAGGTAACCAACTGGCGCGTGGCAAAGAGGCGCTACCGGGAACACCGCGAGTACGGAGAGGAAGGAGACACGTCTCCGCCGAAGAAGAAATCCACGAATGAGGCGGCCGAGCCATTGGACTGGAAACAACTGGGCTTAGGGTTCGGAGGAGAGGAACCACCCACGTTTGACACGGATGGCAAGATCGCTAATGGATTAACGAAAACTGCTAAGAAGGACCCTCTCTCATTGGCTGCCCTCCAGGCATTACTGTTAGACTCTGCCGGGTTAGGGAAGGAGAATACAAAGACAGCGGCGAACAAAGCAAATACAGCGCTGGGGTTGGAGGTCAAAACGGAAAACAATGCGGCGGCGAGCAATCAGCCACGGCATTCGCAGCAGAACGGAGGAACGGGCAGCAGCGGATGGCGGAACCAGGGCAACAACGTCAACTATGGCAACGGCAGCTATGACAATGGCAACTATGGCGGCGGCGGTCTCAACGGTAGTGGCAACGGCAGCGGACGAGGGTTTAGCAGTAACCGCGGCTTTGGCGGTGGACGTGGGTTTGGCGGAGGTCGAGGCGGAGGCTCGAACCTATCTAACTATGGTCCGACTGACACGCGCTCGATCTTGCAGCGCAAGGCCGAGTCCAAGTGCAGCTACTGCGGCGAAGCTGGCCACTGGTGGCGGGAGTGTGCCCTGCGTTTGGTAAATGAACAAGTATTGGGAGCGACCCAACCGACGCCATTGGCGGCGAGCAGCAACCAGGGTGGCGGCAGCGCAGCTACAGCAACGCCACCGACGACTCTGGGAAACTAGTGGCGGCAGCGAAGGCGGGGGGGGGGGGTTCGTTGTCGGAAGATGCCACCAACCCCAGAGTAGGAGAAGGAGGACCCGTGTGGCTTCGTGATCAAATAGCGATGGCACGGGTGGCGACTGAGGAAGCGAGCACTCGGACCCAGGGGAAGAGCGCCGACGTAGACATCGGGCAATAACCAAGGGGAAGAGTGGAGGAGAGGAAGCGGAGGAGCAGAGCGACGAGCCTATCGCCGTTGCTGAGAAGGAATGCGAGGCATCGACGGTGAATGTACCAGCGATGGGTGTAAGGAAACGTGCGGGGCGATGTGCACGCCCGGGTCGAGTGACGCGGCAGGCACGTGCGCGGAAGAGACGACAGAAGAACCAGTGAAGAAGAAGCGGGCAGCGGCAAATGCGTCCCAAGTGACGTTGACGATGCGTGGTGGACGGACTGTGGCCGCGCGACGCCGGCAACGGCGGAGAGAAGCGGACCTGGCGGCAGTCCAGAATATCCTGACGAGCGAGCTGAGAGAGCGCCGAGAAGAACGAGCGAAGGTGCTGCGCCTTGCAGTACGGCAAGCACTCAACGTCCTGCCAGAAGCTGAGCGAGTTGTACGGCGGGGAGAACATGTGCGGGCACTACGCGTCGCCGTGGCAACGGTGAAGAAGACAGAGGGACGTGCGGTCAAGAAGAAGAACGCTCGAACGGATACGACGGAGAAGACAGTCAAGACCCGCGACACCGAGGAGGAGATCGCCGATGCCAAATGGCTGGCATGTGTGCAGCACTATGCGGGGATGTGTCCGAAGAAGCTGCCAGAGGAAGGAACACTAGTGGAGATGCGGGCCGCGCGCAAG